GAAGGAATATGTCACAATGATCAGATAATACATCTATATCATCACAATGAGAAAGACTTATGAAAGCATTGGTTTCAGATCATCATGTATTTGTAGGTGAATAACTTATAAAAAAAAAAAATTGCTGTTTAAAGTTGAAACTTTCTTTTTCTATATCCTTGAGGCAAAGTGACAGCAGCTAATTGTTGTATATCTGCCAAATACTGGCATGAACCACAAAATTTACATTTTGCTACTCACTGAGCTGTCGACTTTTAACAAAGTTTAAGGTTGTTGAAACATTAGTTGTCTTAATCAACTACAGAAATCATTTTGTCCCAATGCAATTAGGTCACGATTTTCTCGAAAAGAAAACAAGTCTGATTGCTTCTGTTGCAGGGTGTGTATTGTTATGAACTGCACTTTGTTTTTCCAAATTCCTTTTTTTTTTTTTTATATATTAATGTAGCACGTCATATTCAATAAAAACAGGAAGAAGAGATCATCTTCAATATTTCTAAGTTATACATTCTTAATAAAATTCATAAGTACAGCCAAAATTGTTGTGTAGCTTCTATTGAGACGTTGACAATTTAACAAAACCTTAACAAAGATTGTAAGACTTAAATAATTGGTTATTCATTCTTCTGAGGAGTTGCTGAGTTCTTGACCAAATCCACTACCAGAAGCATTTTTTTTTTTTAATTTCCTTCTGGGTCAAATGGAGGTAGAAGGTAAAAGGGGTCTTGAATGTCAAATTAATAGATAAATGAATTTAGTTTGTGAGGATTTGGGCATGAAAATTAGATGTATTAATTTAATCTTGATCATTAATTCATTAAAAAAAAAAAAAATAAGATGTTAAAATTTTTTGTTTGGTTGTGCTTTCAGCTTTTTGAAAACATTCAAATTTCTAGTCATCATTTTGCAAATTTTTAACTTTGTTTTTTTAGGTATATTAAAATTAAATATAATTATTTAAAAGACATGACAATTGACGGAAGATTATGAATTAACTGTGCTGATTAATCAGTAGTGTAAAACTGGATTTTACAAGAATTATGCTGTTTGATAGAAAACTAAAATATGTTTAAAGTAAGGACCAGTCTGATAAAGTCTCTACAGTAAGAAATGAGTTTAGTCAGTAAGGCCAAAGAGCATCCAAGATGTGTCCCTAAGGAAATAAGCAAAAGGCCATTTTTCAAACTAAAAAAAAAGATAAGCAGATTCTGCTGTGAATTACTTGGAAAAATCAGACTATGTTGGTTAGATCCACACTTCATTCTTGGAGATTTTGTTTAATAAATTTCATAAATGGGTAAGGGTTATTTCTTTTTATAGAATTTGCTTTTATGTGCTGTGTCTTTTTAGGATGTTGGTGATCATGGCTCTCTCCAGTTTCCTGTTCTTTGTAGCTATTAATAAATTTGTTATATAGGAATAAAGTGTCACTGTTGACACTGGAGTTTGAACACAGATCACCAGAGAGCAAACACAGGCGATCCCATTTTAATAAGTAGATCATGTGATGGTAAAGGAAATGTATATATGGGAATTAGCGTGGCATCTAAGTGATCACTATTCAGTGGTTACTTTTTGAGTGAGTATTATTGAGCAAGTACTATTAGTGTGAGTGATATTTGAAGACTGACATTAGTATTATTCAATGGCATTACTATAGTTGTATCTGTGATTACAAAGTCTCTACTATAATGAGTATTACAAAAGTGGCAATGTGTGTTCATTGACATCACAAAAAAAAATTTTGTCCTTTTGTTATCTCTCCTAAATTTTGTTCTATCATCCATTTACTCAAGTTCACTAAGTGGGTTATGTGTTTTTTTTCCCTCTGTCCCTCTTGCCTTCAATCAGTCCTGTGAGTATCAAATTTCTTACCCTAGAAATTTCAACTCTCTTCCTGATGCTAAATATGAGTGTCCTTTTTGTTTCTATTTTCTCTTGAACTTTGTCATTGCTAACATGTTTGGTCTGTAGTATTCTCAGTATCCTTCTGTAGAACAACATTTTTTTTTTAAGTCTCCTCTTTGTCCCTCATTCACTGCCATATAGGACTAATATTACATAACACTCCAGTACTCTTTTTCTTTATTTCTAACATTTTTCTGTTTCTTAATACTTTGCTTAACTTTTGGAAGGCACATTTTGCTATCCCAATATTCCTTTTGAATCCAGTGTCACACTTTCTGTCCTCTGTTAAAACACTTCTCAGATATTTAAAGTGTTTGATTTTGGTATCCCCAATTTGCGTATGCCTTTCTAGCTTTCTTTTCACTACCTTCTGTACCTTTCTATGTCTGCTACCAATACTCTCGTATTGTTAAGATTGTGGCTGCCAATAATGAATCCTGGTAGGATTTCTAATTCTCTCAGAATCACCTCACTGTATAGGTTGAATAAATCCGGTGAGAAGACACATCCTTGTCTTACACCCCTTTCTATTTTTGTTTATTTGCTGAATTCATTTTCTATCTGTATGCAGACAGTTTGCTATTAGTATAAGTTCTGGATTATTTTAATATCCTTCCCAAATATACTAAGGTTATTTAGCAGTTGTACTTGCAGGATTAAATATTAAGTAATTGGAAAAAAATCAATTATAGAACCAGAAAAAGTGGCAGAATAAATTCAATGTTTTCACATTTTATCACTTGTACTTGAAATTCATTTAAACTAAGGGCTTATGGATCAGATTGAAACACTGGCGCCTGTATAATCACTGAAGTTAAGCAATGTTGAGCCTGGTCAGTACCTAGATGAGTAAACACTTGAAAATACCAGAGGCTGTAAACTTGGATGAGTGGATGGTGTAATGGATAATGGCTCGGAACTATTAGTCAGAGAGCCGATTTCCAGTTCCTATTGGCTTTGTTATATTCACTTATGTGCAAATACCTTTGGGAAAGGTATGAACCCACTTCTGCTACCCATTGCTATAGATTAATTAGTAAGACTTGTATCATTAAATCATTATTATCTTAAAAAAAAAAAAAATTCTTACAATGTAAAACTATTTTCTGGCTTTAAATAACCTGCAATGGGTTGATAAACTATAGAAAACGAATCAGTTATACTAAGCAGAAACCTGTGCTGAGTGATAGAAAGTTAACCACGTCAGATGTCAACAATTAAAACCTACTGAGATAAAAGTCAAGAACCTTATTATCCTTGAATGGTGAATCTTATTTTAGCTCCAGCTCCTGAAATGTATTTGACTTATTTTGGCAAACCAACTGAAGAAAAAACATACATTTTAGTAGCCAATGAATGAAGGAGAAACACTTTTATCCAGACTACACCTGAAGAAGGCCAGTGATTAGATCACCTGAAACAGTGATAAAATGAGATCAATAGTCCCAACAAATCTTAGAATGATGATGATAATCTTTCAAAATGACGGAATCAATGTTGCATAAGAATATTTTGTTAAAAAGGTATAAGCACAAGAAATTTGGCTCTATATGCAAGCATTACAAATAAGGTACAGTGTCACCCGGATATAAGAGAGTTGTCGGGACCGGAGAAGAAGTCTCTTATATCCGGGTTTCTCTTATATCCGGGTTTGATCTATTTTATATACATTAACACAGGCTCTAATTTGGGACCAGAGAAAATCTCTCTTATATCCGGGTTACACTGTAATTTATTCTTTGGGATTCAATAAAGTTATTTTTATTTAGCTATATTTGCTTTCAACACAACAGAATAAGTGTAACTGTACACACCCTAAGAAAGATTTGATTTTTTTCTTTTTTTAAATTGTCATAGAGCCCAGCTGCTGACAACATTTGTTTGTTGTTGAAAAGAAAACATAAAAGTGTAAAACAATTCAAACTGATTTATAGTAGACATTAAAAATCAATACATTTCGAGATTTTTTTTACGTTATAACCGGAGAAAAGAAACGGAAACAAATATTACAGAAAAACATTAATTACAATGAAAATTAAACTAAACCTGATGTTGTCTACTTTCACAGCATTACAAACTTGGAGTTAAATTTTTAAAATGATTGTCATAAAAATATCAATTTTTTCCTCTTTCAATGGAGACCTAAGACATGAATGTATTTAAAAGCCTAATGGTAGCAAAGATACAATAATAAACAGAAAATTGGTAAGTAGTCATCCTCTATGATGAATCAAAACTCACTTTATCATCATTGCCAATTGATTTAATCTCATTGACAGATTTTTTTTATTAATCTTATCCAAATTGCAATGTACAAAATAGTTTTTATTAATTTAATTTTTCCTCTTATCATTTTTGATGGGGAAATGTCATTTGATTTATTTGTCATTAGTGCCTCCAATGTTTCTTTTCAGGTTAAATTTCAACATCTTTTCTCAAATGAGAAAATAAATAATTGTGACAAGATTTAATAATATTTTTAATAGTATATTTTTAGTATATAATTAATAATATTCATTTTACTACTGAAGAGTAAAACTAGCAAATAGGTGTTAAAGTGTTCATACAAGATTTTTTTTTTTTACTAAATTTTCTTTTATCTGTACAGATTGGGTTAATAAAGAACTATTTTGATTCTTTTTTTCATAAGTATTTTAAAACAGCTCAACAGCATAAACCTAGCTTGACAAGCCAATCTTAAATATGTTGAAAAGCAATTTTTTAGTATATTGCTTTAATCAGAACTTATTTCTTGTAAATAAAAGTAAAACGAGTGTAAAAAGAAATTTCTAAAACAAATACAAACGTATTTGTAATTAAATAGAAATATGTTAAAATCAGAATTTTACATGAGTTTTAAATAAATTGAAAGGACTTAAGGTGGAAATTTGTTTGTTTTAATAGTTTTCAATTATTTTCTGAATTCTCTTTTAAAAGGAGCTAATGTAATTATCACAAGTTTAATTGAAACAATTCTTCATCGTCCTTGTGAGAAAAATTCACTAGAAATTGATCTCAACATTCCACTTGACATGAATATATTTGCCAAGCCATTTACAACTTTTCTTTTTCAGATGGCTTTTTTGATTTCATCAATCCTCATTACAACTTTCAGCAGATAAATATTCCAGCATTTGTGTCATTCCAATCTGTTCGTCAGTCTCCGATTTTTGCTTCTTGTCTTTTTCACCTTTGACCGTATTTAACTGTTGTAATCGTTTGCGTCTTTGAAGCTTTCTGCGTGTTGGAAGTCCAGGTTCGTCTCTAGTGAAGTAACCTACATTGGAAGAGAGAACAGTACAGACGTCTTGGTGGCTGTTAGCATTGCATGACATTCTAATTTGTAAATTAATTTTTTCTTTCTCTAACAAACAGATATAACAATGTGCTTACAAATTATTGAAACATTTTTCAGAATTTAGACTTTTTCCATTTTAGAAATAGGTTAAGTTTTGTTTCTTTAGGCTTTTCCACATTTTGAAATCAGGGTTGAAAGTTTCTTTTAACAAAAGCAAACTCAGAACAAATGTTTTCTAAGTAAGAAAACATTTTGATAAATCTATTGATAATTTATTTTTAATCAACATTATAATGATTTCTTTTGGTTACTCTCTTTACTTCATGTGAAATTATGATAATTTGAAGCAGAAATGATGCCACTAAAAGTTAATTATATTTTCTGAATCCATAATTTTATTGGGATTGAGTATCAATATTGACTTAAACAAAAGAATTGAATGCTGAGAGGAGGAAACAAAAATATACATGTAAAATATGAATATAGTGAAAAAAAAAAAAAAATCTAAATTATTTCAAAGACGTTTTCAGCTTGCAAAACATGAAAGAAAATGAGTCAAATTCTAAATTCAATTTAAAAAGAAACGAAACAAAAAATTGTCTGAGAAAGAATGTATACCTCGTTTTTCACATTCCACAGTATCTGGGAAATCAACAGACCAGAAATGTTCTGGTGTCTGGGGAGGCACATACTTAGCACGGTGCCGAGAACAATCTCCCACTTGGTGACGGATCTCTTCTTCAGACAGTCCTTTTGCTTGGTAATACTGTAAAGAACAATAAAGCCATTTGTTGTTATTCTACACAGATCCGAAACACAGGTTTATGTAGGAAAATAAAGACGACTGCAATGGTGCTTTTTTTTTTTTTTTTTTTTTCAAGTTTTATGAGAATTGGTAATCTAAAAACTAAACAGAACAGAAAGCAAAATGAAGGACTGTACCTCAACACATTGCCGACATGTATAGCCATTTAGTTTCTGGCGTTCACCTTTCTTTCGTACAACACTGTGGTGTGCATAGTTGATCTCCTCTTTGTGTGGGACACTGATTAAAAAGAAAAGTATTTAGTAGTTCAATATATTTGAAAAAAACAAAAACAACTCAATAGGATATTTTACATATATTTGGTAATTTTGAGAAACATCATTGCCACTGTAAGAATTGTCAAGTGAATGGATTGGCCAAAATATGACAATAATGAAAACAAAAAAATTTAAATCAAACAACAACTGAAATAACGTATTTGGACAGCAATTTTTCATTTATATATGTATTATAGAATATGACAGACAAGGAATAGTTTAACCTTTTTTGTGTAGTTTCTGTTTTCATACAAAGGAATGAATGATTGATTCAGATTATTCAAGAATTGTCCAAAATACTTGAATCAACAAGTTTAATTACTCAAGAGAATTCTAAACATTATGCAATGATTTTCCCATTGAGCTTCCTCAGGTTTAATTACTCAAGAGCATTTTAAAACTTATGAGTTATATATTAATATTATATGACAATATTCTAAAGTCAAAAAGCAATAGTATCATTAACTGTAAAAAGCTAAGTACCATTTTACAAATATAATATTCTGAAAAATAGCTTGAAAATTTTTTTTTAATACCATGTTAATTTTTATTTTTGTTCATTTCAAAATATTTGCCAGATTGTGTGAAACATTAAAACACTTTATCACATACTTTTTACTTCTATTAAAACATTGTTAAAAAAAACAAAATTTTCTTTTGGGTCCTATTAGGATAGACAAAATGGATCATTAAGAGCAAACAAATTTATAATTTTGGTGGGCTGCCTGTACTGTATAAAGAAGGAAAAAAAGGAAATCTTACTTGTCAAAGCTGTCACATACAGTTTCATGTGTTGGTTCATATTCTGCTTCTGCAGCTACATTTTTCTCAGCCTCTGAAGAGGACACAAGACACTTGTTTGTTTAAAAAGGCAACAATAATAATTCTGTAATTATTTTCTTACAAAGAACATTTTTATATCTCTTATTCAAAATCAACCAAATAAAAATGGGTTTTGTTTAATGTTACCCAATTAAGTGATTTTCAAAGAGTTAGGTAAGGGAATGTGATCAGAAGCTTAAGTGGCATGAAACTGTAAACCAGGATTTCTGATGTCTTAAGATTAAAAAGAATAAAAACCTGATATTTATTGAAAATGAAATAATTGTAAACTTCTACTGAATAAAATTGTGGTGTATTGCTCACAAGTGAATGCATCTTTACAAACCTTGAAGTGATGAAAAGAGTGAATTATTAGCTTTTCAAATAATTCAATTTATGTATTTTAAGGTGCAATTTTAAGTTGCTAATATTTTTTTCTGCTATTTCTACAGTCATCTACCAATCAAAACTGTGGAACCAATTTTGTATGAAGTCTCCTGGAATAAAAACAAGGGGCCATGGTAACCTCCAAGATGCTCAATCACTATTCTCTTACTATTAAGATATTAATGATTTTAGAAATAAAAATATTAAAAACAAACACTTGGCTTTTTTTCATTTTTTCATCTACTACGAGGAGGTACTGAAAAGTTCTGGCCCAGAAACAAATGCAAACTAGTTTGTTTGCATTGATGCACATTACACCTGCACACAAACAAGAAATGCTGGAAATTTTAAATTTAGAAAAAAATAAAAAAATTAATAACAATGATGGAAACAAAAACAAAATGAAAAAAATCTAAATGGAATTGGCTAAATTACATACCCAAAACACATAAAAAAAGTATTTTTTTTTTTACCCTAAATTTAAAATTCCTAGTGTCTTTCATCTTGTGTATGTGTAGTCACATCAATGTAAACAAACCTAGTCTGATGAGGTCCTAGAGGATGAAATGTGTCATACAAAAACTTTTCCCACTTTGTCATATATATATATATATATATAGAGAGAGAGAGAGAGAGAAAGAAAGAAGTTTACCACGGGGAATCTATAATAATCCTTGGACAATTACAGTGGTGTTAGGTTTAATTCCTAAACTATAGAAATAGTTTTGATTCAGCATGGAGGAAATGTCAAATGTGTGTGTATGAAACTAGAGCCAAAATAAAAAGGCCAATTCCATAACTAACAAAAATGAAAAACCGACCTATGTCTGCCAATCAATGAAACTATCATTCATGAAAGATAATATGAATTTCAGAAGCTACCTTCTTTCTTTTTTCAAATTCCAAGTGACAGATGAAATTTATCAGGACACAATGAGGAAAAGAGAGCCTAGTGAATTTAGAACTCATAAGAACATAGTGAAAGCAACTTTGGAGCAATGGAAGATAGAAGAGGAACAAAGAGAGGTGATAAAGTGTTAAAAAATTAGGACAAAGAAAAAATAAAAAAAAATAAACAGGAAGCTGTGGATCACCTACATTTGAGGACTTGGCACATGAAATATGATGACATATAATTTAACACCCAAAGAACTTGATGTCTAAAGAATATTGCAAGAAAAAAAAAGACAGAAAACTAAAATATTTATAATCCAGCGAGAATTAAAAACCTATCTGGGCTATTTTATACATTTAATCATGCACTAAACATAAATAACACTAAACAGTTATTTTAAAAAAAAAAAAGAAAAAAAAGAAAGAAAGAAGAGTCTTTACCTTTCAAAGCTGATCTTTTACCAGTACTAAACTTATAACTTCTACTTGGAAATATCTGAGAGCAACTGTCTACTTCTTCGAGATCTGTTGTTGTCTTTTCACTAGAATCCTCACTGGGCTCATTTCTATTTGTTTGACCATCAACAATTTCATTCTCCTCGAGAAACTGTGTCATATGCATATCAGGAGCCAAACTACCATTTTTTTCGGTCATTTGTTGGTCAGTTTTGTTAGGATTGATGACCTCATGTTCTGGGTCAGGAGGTTGGGCAGTGTGCCAAATCTGATCATCACCATTTGAACAGACTGTCATTTTTTCCATATGGTTGACATCAGAATCATTCATCAGGGTTTCATTACCCCAGTTTTCTGGTGGCAGAGTTTGGTCAGCATCGACCACACAACTTTCTTCCTGATTTTCTTTGTTTCTGTAACACCGGCTGAATTTCTTCCTTTCAATTGAAGGTTGCTCTAGGATTTGATTATTAGGAAAACATTGTAAAGGATGAATCGATTCTTTTTTCCATCCTGTTTTGCCTTCCGTGTCTTCATTTTTGTTTGTCAGACTAAAGTCACATTTGGAAATTTCATATGTACGCTGTTTTCGTTTTTTTCGTAGTGGGGATTTTGTGGGAGATTTTAAATTAGCTTCCAAACCAATTTGTTGGGTTTTGTAGTTTTTAATGCTCTTGCCTTTGTTATCCACTGTCATTGTCAATGGTTGCAAAACAGAAGTCGGATTTTTATTATTTGATTGGCCAATTAAGTCCTTGTCAGAGGATGCAGTCTTTTGATCTATATTTTGAACACATGAATTCTTTTTGGTATTAATAGAACCAATCAAAGCAGCATTACTTAATGCATTTGGATTAGTGTGAGGACTTTCAAAGACCAGGGATTTTTCAGTGAGTTCTTCGGGAATTTTAGAAAGACTCTGGTCTGTCTCACCATCAGAATCCCAAGGATTGAATAGTGCAAGTGTATCAGGGACTACAGTCAGTTCATTGTCTGTTTCTGCAGATTTTTTAACTGTTGCATTGTCAGCAGCACATGTATCAGGTAAACAGGTTTCTGGGACATTCATTAAAGGTGCAGCAGGTGAGGGTTTGACATTGGATGGAAGAATTTGTTCTGGATTTTCTTCTGCAGATTCCTGAAGATGAAAAATGTCAGTAAAGAATTAAAAAAAAAAAAAAATTTTTCTTAACCAAACAGCAGTTTCTGCCTTACCATCCCTTTACATCTAATATAATCAACACTGCAATGCTGCTCCCAACACATTACGTAATCTCACAGTACATCACTGGGACATGTCAACTCTTTCTCACCAGGTCATCTTGGTCCATTTCTACAGCAATTTCCTTCATCTTGTAAACTTGACTGCTTTTTTTTTCACCCTCATCCCCCTTTATTTTTCCAACCACTCTCCTATAATGATGCAACTCCCTTTTACCTAATAAATTACCCTCTCAGTTTTTCATATTTTCTCTTTCTACATTGGCTTGTTGGCAGGAAGTCATACATGATACATGCTTGGGTGGTCATGTATCAAAAGATACATGACTGACAAGGCAGATTTTTTCCCGCAGTAGGTTACCATTTCCTTCTGCAGTAGACTGGTTGCCAACCAAGGCTAAAGAACACATCTGTTCTGTTATTCAACCTATAGCAGGGGGAGAAGAGATGGATTCATAGCTTCATCAACGGTATTTGTGCGCAAGTGAATCTAACAAACTCAACATGAATTTGAACTCAGCTCTCCGATTTCTCACTCTGAGCCGATATCTATTACACCCTAATGCACATCCTGGCAGGAAAGTAAGTTCATATAGCTTATTTTTGCCCTTTTTCATTCTCTTTCCCCTCTTCTTTCATGCCACATGTTTGGCCACCTTGAAAAGAAATTGAACAAAAACAGCATCAACTCAAGCCCATCTACATGTGCATGATCCACATATATACATGCCCAAGGTTTTAACTCTTTAGACCATATCTCTCACTTTTTCTCATACATACATATATATACAAACACACACACACACACACATATGGTCTAAACTTTGGTATATTTCTGGGAGAAGAGTGCACAACAGTGTGGATATAGAAATCAACATTTTTATGTTCTGTAGATTTTTTTTTATCTATGTATATTTCCCACTGAGGCATTAAACTTCTACTTGCATTTGTTTCTATGTGCATGCACACACACACACACACACACACACTAAGCTTTTTTGAAAACCTATATAGGATGTTCTGATATATATGTTATTTCTTGTGATCCAAAATGCTGAACTCATTTTTTAGAGACTCAAATGTGAAAAGAAAAAAAAGTTCCCAAAATGAAGAAAGAGATTAAAAATGCTGATTAAAAAATGTCAAAGCTATACACACACACACACACGTTCTAAATCAAAATCTGATCAAAACAATGTCACAGCAAACACAACCAACCACAGAAAGTTCAAAAAGCCATTATCTTAGTGCCATTGTGACGATCAGACACACATGCGAGTGAGGCCTGATGCAATAAATTCACCTAGAAAAGACAGCTCTCATTCAAGGGTAGTGAACTGCTGTATTTATAAAATTATTTGTATAGAATATAGACACATTTGAAAATTAAAAAAAAATGAAATGAATAGTTACCTTGTATATGACACGTTTTTGGGAAGTCTTTAGTCTAAGTCGATTGTTCTTTTGATTGTCAGGGCTGGATTTGGGAGAAACACTGCTAGGGATAAAAGCAAAAATATAATAGCATCATTTATAAATATAATTGTTTTGTGACAACTTTGAGATTTTGAAGTTATTCAACAAGTGTTGATAAACTGGGGTTAGATGTTGAGACATTTGTTTTTTTATGATATTTCACATATGGCCTCTGCACAACAGATAAATGTTTGAAAATTACCAGATTACAAAGGCTTGGGTAATCTAATAACATTATACTTCAGCATTTTAATAAACCACTAACATGAGTCACATTTAAATTTTATTTTTCAAACCTTAAAAGTTAATCATGTCATTCTTTACTAAATGCCAAGTCATAGTGTATCTCTTGCCCAGAACTGGAGGCCTATCTCAAATCGTGACGTTCCACTGGTGGGTGAAGATGTTTAGTTTTGGTTTACAGTAGTCTGCTGCTGTAGTTGGCTTAACAAATTAAAGAAAAAAGTAGAAATTAAGAGCAGAATTAATTTGACTTGGAAAGTTAATCCTCTTTATCTTGGTATATATTTTTTATGACTATATAATTTGGTGGAGTTTGGAACCCATCACATCAACCCCATCAATAAAGTGTCATATAGGAAGAAAATGAGTAACTACTGACACTAAGGTTTGAGTGTGACACTTTGGACTTATGAATATATGTTTTTCCATCAGGTGTATAAATAGCAGTATCAGGCTACTGTGTTGAGTGATTGACTATTGAGTGAAACTATTCAGTCGAATTAGTGTGAATTAATGTGTGTCAATGATTTGGGTTTTGATTTAGGATTTACCAGACGTTAAGCCAAGCCACACTACTAACAAGATATTCACTGAAAGGATTAATTATCTTTCATTGACTTTTACGTCTTTGTTCTTAAGTATTTATTTGTGGTTGTAATTAAATACTGTTTTGTCTTAACATTGAAGTCTTGAGTTATACTTATTAACGGCCACTGTTTGTTACAAAATAAGGGTATATGAAATATTATATGCATTTTAATCTTTGTATTAATTATCCATGTTAAAACTGTTAAAAAAATAAATATATATATACTTCTTTTATGATTATAAAAGTACCTAGAAAAAAAACTGACCCTTAAAAATGCATCATTTAGCAGCAGGGTTATGGTTAATATTTTGCACACCTTATTTGCAATATATAAAAATATTGGATAAAATTTATTCAATTTAATTATGGCTAACTTTACATAACAATTTTTTTAATAAATGATTTTTCATTCATTTTCTAGGATAAAATATCATGTTTGCTCCTATTTTTTGTTTAACAGTAAAGTAAGCTAAAATTCAACATACTTTGTTTTTAAAATACCTTTTAGAATAAAAAACACAAATTACTCATAAAATATTAAATTTTATCATCAATATATTTGTTATGAATAACAATAGCATAGAGAAAAACATTAAATTAAGTTTATGTAACAATAGAATTTTAAATAAATTTTGCAGTGTAAAAACAGAATCTGAGAAAAAGTCTTCAAAAGAAAATTGTTAAAAACATTATTAAAATTAACTTTTTTGAGAGAAACTACTGTGTTGCATTTGTAATGAGAAAAACTAGAAAAAATCTGATTAATAAATTACTTCTTTAAATCAAGTAAAATTCACATGATATCGGTATAAGAAGTGTGGTAAAAATTCAACATATATTTTTTTCATTTGTTAGAAACAGAAATACAGATCATGCAAAAATAATTAAATCTGATCATTAGTGCATTTGCTTTTATGAATAAAATTTTCATAGGGAAGAATATTAAATTAACTTTTAAGGGAAAATTGTTAAATTGATTTCCAAGTAATCAAGTTTCCTAAATTACATTTTCTAGTGAATTTTGCACAAAAAAATTTTTTTTTGCAATGAAAAAATAAAATAATAAAGCAAGTCCAAAGGAAATAAAATAAATAAGTCTTATACTTACTTTAGTTAAGCAAGCTAAATTCATTACAAATGTAAAAAGCAAAATATTTCTTAAGCTAAACTACTTGTACTACTATAAACCTAAACTCAAACTAAAAACCTTCACTTCCAGTGGGATGATGAGATTTGAGATTGACGGCCAGTTCTAGCAAGAGTTACACTATGATGTGGCCTTTAGTAAAGTATGACATGAAGTTAATTGATTCCATTTTTATAACAGGATTTGATTGGTTTTATTTTTAATCTACATTAACTTTGGGTAAAGTAACATGCAAAAAAAGAATTCACTTGCACGTTACACACATACAAATTACTTGGCCAGACCGGAGTCAAACCAGAGGATGGATATTTTAAGAAAGTGCTCAATACACAATTCTAAAAAATTGAATGCATAGAGCAGATAATAGTAACATAAAAGATTTAAAAATTCACTGTCTATATTTATGAGATGAGGTATTATGTACACTATTTACATTATTCGGACTATTGTCCTCATCTTTGTCGCCATATTTATTACAATGTTTCGGCCGTTGTATGCTCCGGCCTTCTTCAGGTGGTTGGAATGTCGAACTGAACAATTAAAAATTCACCATTAACACAATCCGGATCATGTTAACGATGAATTTTTCAATCTTTTATACTATATATATATATATATATATATATATATATATACTCCTTATATAAAAATTGGATGACAAAAATGTTTTTGTATGTTGTTTTTTTTTTTTAAAAATCGACATGTAAGTGCACAATAAATTTTTGAAAGAATCACAAAAGTTTTGGGTTGCTACTGCTCATTACTAAATTTTATTTTTTTATTTTTTTTTTACAATTGGATATAAATTAAAATGCATTCTAGCCTCTTCTTTTAATTTACTGTATAGCTGCTGTAAATTTGAAAGCAATTACATTCTCAAACTTAATACAAAGAATTACCTTCAAATCAACTGTCTTATAAAAATATTCCTAAGATATTATCTAAGATAACAAAAAGTAGATAAGAAAATTGAAGACATATTTTTTCATACTTCTGAGAGAATGAGAGACATTATTGTATCATTTTTCTGCTAAGCTCTTCCATGTTGGATAGATCTCATAAGTTATTAAGAATATGAGTGGGATACTCACTGAGTACTGATAAAATGTGGCCTTGTAAAATAAAAGACCAGTGTTCAAATGTGTCTTAAACACTGCAATTTCTTTCTCACAGACAAAATGTCACAAGTCTCTCACAGTTCTATTGTTATTTCCATGGAAAGTATTAAGACGAACTACAATCCTTAGTTCCAACAGTTCTAACCTTCATGACTAAGACCTGCCATAGTCACGCCTATTTTAGCAAACCACCCTCATTCCTTTCATATTCCTTTGGTGAGATGTAAGTCCCACTTAAACTAAACTGCTGCTTTGTGGAAACGCCTCCCAAAAAGATGCTTCCACGATCACTATAATCTTAACCAGTGCAAGTCTGAAGTCAGCTGATATCTTCCCCACATATCCCTATAAACTGTGCCTCTTATTCTATAACCCTTTACCTTGAGTGGCTCTTAGGTCTTGTACAGGGTGAACAATATTTAAAAAAAATTCTCTGCACATGAATTTATATGAGAAAAGGAAAATTGAAGACTCATATTTGAGACATGTTCAATAGGGAATATGCACAGAAAACTCACAGCTCTTGTATTTATAAAAATACAGTAGCTGTGTGAAAATTTCTTTTAAATAATCACTAAATTTTTCATCATCTCTAAAATATGATTATCTCATTTTTTCACTGTTAACATAAATCAGTTCTCTTGAGTATATTTTTTTGTTTTCATATTAGATCAAGACTCTTGAAAGTAGATAATCATATTTAATTCTTAAGATTTTAAATCTGTTATCCCTCTCCTCATTATGAACACATGTTTACAATTAAAAAACAAAATGGAATATGAAATTAAGTAAATAAATGTATTTAACACTTTTTTCCACTATAAACACATTAATGCATTCAGATGTTTGGATAAAACAAATAGTTACACTTGAATTTCTGCATATAGTCAGTATGACTGCAACACTCAATTTTTGGTTTGATAGAAAACTGCTAACAGATTCAAAATAATGATGGGAATTTGCATGTTAATAAAGTGTGTATGTAGGTGTGTAGATTGTGAATAGAAAGTCGCACAACATGTTGTCTATTGTAGTGATGAGAAAAAAGAAAAAAAAAGAAAAAGGACACTTGTAATTCATGATCAAATAAACAAGTTTCTTCTTTCAGACATTTATTTTGTCCCATTGTTAGTACTGGGTATTTTAACAAAGGAAGGTAAAACACAAGACAGTTGAAGGAGGAATGTGATAAGGTGGGAGGTAACCCACTTGTGTGGGGCAAATAGGACCCTGAGAAGGCTTGACAGTAGCCGACAGTGTTAAATGTAGAAAGGCCCAGTTTTATGATATAAAACCATGGAAATAAAACGTAAGAGAAGGTGTGATTATGTTTAAGGATTATTAGAATTAAATTTGGAAAAAGAATTAAAAATGTTAACTAATTTTAAGAAGTTTGATATTTTGGGAAAGAATAGGAAATCGCCATTTACTAGATTTAAATGACTATAAAGACACTCACAGTGATTTCTCATGGGTGCAGACATTTTGATTTTGATCAGATTCTCTACAGTACAGACTAATCTAACAACCCACACCAACCCATAATGTAATAAAAATACATCATAAAATGAGTTGTACTGTATACTTCTATATGTCTACACTGGTTTGGAAATAGCACAAGTTTTTTTTATTTTCCCATATTCTTTGACACTCAGTAACACCTTGCATCCTATTGCTTCAGGTGAAATGATTTGAGAAAAAGTCACTAAGCATTAGTTAGTTTATAATACCAATGTTAGGGACTAATATTTCATGGTGTTTTGAAAATGTACACAGATGTTGATAGAAGGCAATGTATGTTTTGTAAAGATGTATAAGCCTGTCCCAAGCAGCAGAAGTGATGTAAAACATTTGCAAATAATTATATTTCAGAAGTGACTTGACATGAGAATAGACACCCCAAGGTGGAATATAAGCAATTTATATATATAAAAAACGCATTACAATATATAACAAGTTTTCATGATTTCAATAATTTATGTCCTATCCCCTTGACAAAAAAAGAAAAGAAAAAAAAAGAAAAGAAAAAAAAGAAAAGAAAAAAAAGAAAAGAAAAAAAAAGAACAGAAAAAAAAGAACAGAAAAAAAAAGAACAGAAAAAAAGGTGTTGCAAATTTAATAGAAGATTAACCCAAGACTTTTCATGCTTTTTCCAGTTTGATTTTGAATCAAGCCACTGAATTGAGATTGTGCAAAATATAATAAAGTCTTCTCAAAAAAGTATGGGCAAAGGATGTAATATAAAACTATGAAAACTTGAATAAGAAGAAAAGGTTTATAGAGTCAAAGAAAAGAAGAATAAAATACCTAATCTACTTTGTCTTGTTTTCTTGGGAATTATAACAAGATACTACAAAATAATCAGTTGATTTTGTAAATAAAATAAAAATAATGTCCCAAAATATTTTTTTCTTACTTTTAATAATAAATGATCATTAATAATTCTTTATGTATTGGTTTTCTACTATCAAAAAAAAATTAAAAAAAAGTTTTTTGCAATATCAGCTCAAAATTAAGCAACAACAGTCCTAGTTACAAAAAGATTAATTCAATTAACAACTGACCCAAACAGGAAAAATCAAACAATCAGAAAGTAGCTTATTAATGCTGCACTATATTCTCTAATTGCAATAGAAATGATTTTAATTAAAAGTCATAAAAAGGATAAAAAAATGAACATACTTATCAGGATCAGAATTTAAAGTAGGTTGTTGACCATTCAATTGGGCTTCTGTAAAAGAGAAAAGAAAATTTACATAAGTCAGTTAATTTCTATTTGCAATTTTTTATGTACATATTTGCATAAATTTACAAAATTTAGAGACTAGTTACTTTTTCAATAAAAGAGTATGTTGCGGAATTTGAGCTAATTGGATGTATCAGAAGGTGAAATTGTGTGAAGGCTTAAAAATGTGTGTTTTTTTAAACATTCATCCACAACAAATAAAATGAACATTTGATGGCAATTCAATTGGAAGAAATCAAGGAGAAACAATGTAGTTATAGATTTCAACAAATAACATGCATTTATATACATTTGATATACAAAAAATGAATTTTAGATTGCTTGTTCAATGTGATAAAGATAAAAATGTAAGGAGTGACCATTCAGTGATTTGGTGCATGAAAGCTTATAGTTAAGGTTTGTCTATGAAAATAAACAGTTTGATTTTTGCAAGGTGAAATGTTACTTGTGTGGGTTCAAATACTAGTGTGTATGTGTGTGACAATTGTAAATATTGTTTAAAGTCATAAGGAGTTATGTGCCTTTGACTGGTATAATGTTAGTTGATTAAATTCGGTAGTGAATAATGTCACTTTTTCTAGTAAATTGTAAGTTGGGTCAATTCGCGCAGCAAGATTTTCTGAGTTGTGTTAAGCTGCTGAGTGAGAGAGTGGCAGTTGTTGAGTTAGTGTGCTGGTGTGCGTGGAGTTTGTTGGCATCTCTCAAAGACTTAACAAAGATGTGAATTCAGGTGAAGCGATTCTATTTATTGATTTTTTGGGTTTCAAATCGGCTCCAGATAGTTGAGCTGGAAAACAGATTTGTCACAACTTGCTACATTTTTTGGGTCCTTTCCACCAATGAGAAGTCAAGTTTAAAAAAGTGAAGTAATGATTGGTTAAAGTTGGTTTGGGAGAAAAGTGCATTTTTCCGCAGGGGTGAGTAGCAAATATGGAGGATTCCATTAAGCACAGTTTAAAAACCCAAAGTATTATAGCTGTCCCTCTCCACTCAAAGTAACCGTGTCAATTTTATATATAGTTTTAATACACATGCAGGATGTTAACATCCACAGAGTCTGAGGAATCACTTGTTTAATGATGACTGCAGATTCCTACTTTTCAAAATTAAACTAACATGAAATATAGTATAATCCCATATTCTTCAAATTCATGTGAAGTTAACTCCATCAGTAAAAATATTTAGAACTTTTATTAAACTCAAACTACTTTTAAAATTTACTCCAAGAGTAATATTAGAGTTGGTTGTTTTGGCAATTTAATTTTTGGTATTGGTTTCCATTTTTTTTCCTTGATACTGTGCTTTTCGATTCGGTTTTTGATTTAGTATTTTTGCTTCGTAAGGAAGCTATTCATTTTCTTGTGTAATGATAGCATTTCCAGTTGATATCTGATTTTGTTTGAGATTGGTAAATTTGCAACTTTCAACTTGCTATTTCTCGTGTATTTCTGGTCCAATCTTAAAAATATTCATATGGCAGGAAAGAAAATAAAATAATCTTTCTAAATATGTAATTTGTATGTGCTTTTATTCATTGAATATTTTTTTTTACAGCGAGTTAAAATGGTATTTTGCTTTGAACAGCCGAAAATGCGAAATATGATTTTTTGAGATTAAATTTTACATGTTACTTTCTTTCACAAAATCAGTGATCAATCTTTATCAATATTCTCGAAATTGTACACTCAATTAGAACTTTAGAAGACACCTTAAGCTACAACCAGGAAGATGTTCATTTCTTCTCTGACCCATGGAAGTGAATTCCTTCAAAAATTATAAAGCAAGCAAAAGGAAAAGAAAAAAAGAAGAGAAAAAAGAAAAAAAGAAGAGAAAAAAGAAAAAAAGAAGAAAAAAGAGCAACTGATATGTGTGTGGTAAAAGAACTTTCAAATTATTGAAACTACTGTCTGACACTGACAGACACTTGTTTTCGATTAAAGTTTATTTATTAAACTTTCGAATAAATTGTCAACTATAAATAACTACCATATTTATTAACAAATTAGTAAAATACGAAAAAAATCGTTGCATAAAATATCTATATTTGTGTCTTTGGGCAACACATTTTTGAGAGAGAAAATGAAATGGTATAGCTCTCCAGAAATTAGTTTATGATATGGCTTTTAAAAAGCCAAAAAATGAAACCACTCATGTTTTTAAAAATATGGCAATTCTTTTCTGGTATGCCAGTCAACTGTCATTGGGGTTTTGCAAATAAATTTCTTCTAAACAAGGAAAATCAATGAATTATTTTTCCCCTAAATAAGTTTGTTTTTATCTAGCAAATAAGACACAAAAAATTAAATATTAAAAATAATTTAAAAAAGCTTTTAATTTCATTTTTATAATGTGTATATTTCCTATAAGTAACATCTGTTCTCTACACATTTTAAAACTGAAATTAAAAACTATTTTATAATCATTTTAATATATAACCTTAAGTGTATTTGCTAGATAAAACCATAAAGATATTTGTAAAAATAAAATGAATTAATTTTTCTTGTTTAGAAGAATTTTATAGGCAGAACACCCACTGAACATTAGTGACTAGTGACTAAAAAAGAATAATTTTATTTATAGAAAACAAACAATTTTACACTAGAGACTCGTATATCTGAAAATATACACATTTTAAAAGTGAAATTAAGAGGTAAAAAACAAATTTATTTATAAAAAAAATCTTCATTCATTCTTCTTGTTTACGACAATTTTATTTTGTGATTGGCGTAGTGGCTTACAAGAAAACAATTACCCTTACAAACAATCTGACTTCATAAAATTTAACATTAAGATGAAACTGGCAACTATTTTGTGGTTAACTTAATTTACCACAAAAAATCTTTCTTTTGAAAACTGAAACAAATAGATTTCAGGCATCATGTCATATTTTCCTTTTTTTTTTGTTTGAAAAGATTCTAGGATTTCCAAGTGTCATATTTCCTTTGTTTTCTTCTTCTAAAACTAGTAAATTGAATGTAATTAACATATTTTTGTTCAATCTTTTTCTCTCCCAGTGGTAAAAATGTTGATAAAATTAAATTTCATTAACATCTGAAAGTCTTTTTCAAAAGTGTTTCTTTAGATGTAGTCACTCAGTAGTGATAGCACTTAAAAAAATCGAATGATTATGGTTTTGCAAAAATTTTTGATGTGGTTTCATGGTGTGGATGAAACTGAAAAAAAAAAAATCGGTTTTTCAGTTAAACTGCCCATTTCTAATAATATATATATATATATATATATATATATATATATATATATATATATATATATAAGAACAAGGTAAAGACAAGTTATTGTGAATATATACAGGGTGCATCAGAAATGCTTCCCACATAATTTGAAGACATTAGCTAGATGAAGATACCATTGCCACTAACGTCTTACCATTATGTGGAAGGTATGCCTGCCACACATTGTGTGTGTGTGCGTTTTTATATATATATATATATATATATATATAATCATTTCACCCCAAACAAGGCAATAAAGCCCCTAAAATACAAGGAGTTACTGAGTGTTAAAGAACATGAGAAAAATACTATTAAAGAGTGAGGACAATAAAAGAACAAGAATTAAAAAGACACAGAAGATAACATTTGATATTGCATTTAAATTTTTGAAAATCGAATTTAACTTGGAAGCAAGAAGGCAGACGTGAGTTCCACAAGTGAAAAGTGTGATAAAAGAAACAGTTAACACAGAAATTATGGTAGCCATTTCAACTGTAAAAAGATGAGACCTTGCCACCAATCTAATACTGTGCTTAAATTCATAAAGTCTAGCTACCATAGAGGAAAGTTCATCAGAACAATTACTATGAAAGTATTTATACAAAAGGCAAAGCTACATTATGGTGATGGGAAAGTGACTAAATCTGAGATGCCAGGTCAGGACCAATTGCATTGCAGATTCTTCTTTGGATTTTATCAAGAATATCTAAATATATAGCAGGATCACCAGACCATATGTGGCAGCAATATTGAAAGCAAGGATGAATGGGAGACTTATAAATATGTAAGATAGATTCTGACAAAGAAAAATTGTCTAGCATGACAGAGTGAGAACCAACTTTCTTAGCAGCAGACCTAGCAATGGATTCAATATAATCTATCCACTTTGTGTCAGCAGAAAATATTAGCCTGCAAAGGTGCAACAAGTCACTTTCCTGGAGGTTAGCATCAGCCATGCTGATGAAAGGCAGGAAGGTGTCACTCAGATGAGTGATAGAGAGCAGTTTCATTTTGGAAGCATTAAAATTAACAAACCATTTCTTGCCCCAGTTAATAACAGATTGTAGGTGATTTTTGAGAATGACTTCTAATTTATCCTTATCAAATTGATCAGACTTAACATTAAGACAGGAGTAAAGATACCAAGTTGAGAACTGATAACTTCAGGAAGGTCGTTGGTGAAAATTAGAAATAATGTAGGTCCTGGGGGAAACTTGCATTTATTCAAGAAGATCTAGAAGTGTGGCCATTCAGGAGAAATTTCATTTTGCAATTTGATAAAAATGACTGAATCACTTCAAAAATTAATCAAGGAATACCATAACTTTTCAACTTGTGAAGAAGATCAGTATTCCAAAATCTGTCAAATGTTTTCAAGATGCCCAAAACAACAACCCAAACTTTACCATTCTTATGTGAAGCTTGATAGACTCCTTCAGCAATTATTGTTAGTACATCAGCAGCTGATCTAGAGAAGCGAAAGCCATATTGCAACAAGATAAAAACAAGTTATTTTATATATATATATATATGTATATGTATATATATATATATATAAATAAAATGTAAATGTCTTCAAAGCTGCTAAAATCTAAGTCATCTGATACCATGAAAGGTATTTATATAAATACTATCTATATTTATGTAAAAATAAATTTGCCTAATTCCGATAGATAAAAACGATTATCAGATTTTGACTATTTTAAAAAAAAAAATTAATTTCTGTTGATTTTCATCCCAACTCAGTTTGTTACTGATTGGTTGATTTGTTTTTTTTTTAATGTCATATCAACTCCTTATGGGTCACTTAATGTTGAAATTTAATTTTCTTGGGAGCTTTAAAGTAAAAAAAATATATGTTATGTTATTCTGCTTTCACAATTGAATAAATTGTAGATGATATTCAGCTTTTGTGCATATATATGTTTGTGTAAACATAATTGGTTTGGTTGATCTTGTTTAGAGACATATCAACACCTCCAGGGTTTATTTGAAAGACAAAATGTAAATATTTTGAACATAATTTTATGGCTTCAACTAGATATATTTTGAATGCAATTGTATGCCTTCAACTACAGATAAAATGTATTTTTGGTAATTTTGCTTTGGAATTGTATTATTGGTAATTTTACAATAAATATGTATTGTTGATAATTTTACAAGTATGTATTGTTGGAAATTTCACTACAAATATGTATTGTTGCTAATTTTTTTATATAAAAATGTATTGCTAGTATTTTTATATTTTCATAGTGTTTTGTTTTTGTTTGGGGGTTCACTATTTGCCCATAGCTGGGACCCTAGTAAGTGCTACTAACCAGGCTCAGAGTGAATCTGAGAACAGCAGCATTTAAGAGGGGGTTCCACACTCCTCATGCTTCCAATCTCTCAATCAGAGGCCTTGTTGCTGGATGTAGATTATCATCTTACCTAGGACAGTTAGTTTGTTATTGTAAGGCTGTTAAATAAAGCCACATGTGAATTAGATGTAAGTCTATAAATCTGTTTTTTTTAGATGAAGTATTATTGTTATTAAGTTTTTTTCTTCATCTGATTTCACTTGCTTTTACACTTTTAGGGATTGAAACAAAGACTGGTATATTGTACTTTTAACTGCTTGTTAACTTACCCAAATACTTAATCATCTTGTCTTTCTCACTTAAGCTCCTCTTATAGGCCTCTTCAAGAGAATCAAAGGAATGTCTCAAGTGATCACAAATCTTACAGGGAACATCTGTTCTGCAAAAAGGAGAGCAAAAGAAAGCATAATTAGAAAAGATTAAAATGAAAGCCTTTTGTTAAATTTTCTACATAAGAAGGAAATCTTTAAAATGCTATAGACAAACGAAATCCTAAAAATGCTATATGATTAAATGTTATATGAGAAGGAAATCCTAAAAATGCATTATGATTAAATGTTATATTAGAAGGAAATACTAAAAATGCATTATGATCAAATGTTATGAGAAGGAAATACTAAAAATGCATTATGCTTAAATGTTATATTAGAAGGAAATACTAAAAATGCATTATGCTTAAATGTTATATTAGAAGGAAATACTAAAAATGCATTATGATTAAATGTTATATTAGAAGATGGAAATACTAAAAATGCATTATGATTAAATGTTATATGAGAAGGAAAGGTGTTGTGGTGTCCTCCCTCTAAAAAGTCTATGTTCAACTCTTCTGCCTACTATAAGATTAGTAGGAGAGAAGGCCTTGGGGGAACAGTCGAATAAATTGAATGCTGGGTCATCTGACACACACTCACTAGTCATGTAATACTCTTCTGTTGTACATACTGTTTAATATATGATATATCTGCAACACTGGTTTTGTTATTTCTTAATCATTTACTGGGTCACAACATCTTGGCAATGATGGATTCGAAGATACGGATTTCACGTTAAATCATAAAAAAGTTTTTGCCAGTGTTTACAACAGTGGTGAAGAAAGTAATTCTAATCAAATTCTATGACAAAAGGGAATCCAGTGTTAATTACAACACTGACAGTGAAAAAAAGAAACTCTTCAAAACAAGAGGATTTCTACAAGTTAAATTCAGTGGTTGGAAAGAAGGTTGGTGAACCTTGTTATTTTTTTCATTCCAACAAGTCAGTAAAAGAATTGTACAAGCCAAACAGACTTATTGTTTTCGCTAATAGGGTAAAGTAAAAATTTACCCCCTCTCCTGCTTTTAAATTTTTCAGTAAAAGAATCATACAAGTCAAACAGACTTATTATTGGTTAAGAGGGTAAAGAGAAAAAAAAAATCCCCCCCCTCTCATTTCTTAATTTTATGCAGTAAAATGGACGAATTTAAAAGTGCAATGCTGAAACATCAACAGGAACAACAACTACAAAAATATCAAGAAAGACAAGAGAAATTCCAACGAGAACAAGCAGAATACCAGAAGAAATTTGAGGAATTGCACCTAGAAATTCAGGTTAGACAACAGAATTTAGAAGAAATGCTCCTTCAAATACAGAATGAGCAAAGGCTCTTGTATAATATATCCATCAAAAGCCAAAATGAGGACAGTGAAAATGTGTTCTCTCAAAATGTTATATGGAGTGCTATTGAAAACTTCACGTTTGCACCTGAAGAAGAAATTATATTTGCTTCGTACTTTAAATGTTACAAGAACTTATACAATACGGATTATGCAAGTTGAGCTGACCATAAAAAGGTTCGCCTACTCCTCAGGAAATTAGACACGGAAGAATATACCAAGTTTATCAACTATATAAGAAAACCAGCGACTTGAAATTTAAAGAGGTGGTTCAATCATTAACAGAACTCTTCAGTCCAAAAACATCACTGGGGCGTGGCTCACATTAAAAAAATACACCAAAGAAAAATTAAAAAGGGTCAACCAAAAAATAATAGTTACTTTGCCATCAAGACTATGTTTTGGGTGTGGTCAATTACACTGGTATAGAGATTGTCCTTTTAAAGATAAAAAAATGTTTTAATTGCGATAAATTGGGACATAAAAGTTCCCACTAAAGGATTATGAACAAGACAAAAAAAAAAGTCTTGTAAAAATTACCAAGTCTGATGAACCAGAAAGTCATGACATCAGGAAATATATTGCAGTGCAAATATTTAACAAAAATATAAGGCTACAGCTTGATTCAGGTTCAGGTCATAATTATCAAACATGGAAAAAACTGGGTAAGCCGACTTTGTTAAGAACGAACTGAATAGCTAAAGGTGTAACTGGCGACACTATTAAGTTTATGCGTGTCATTCAAAAGTAAAACTTTAAAACTAAAGGTGTATATTATGAAGAATACAGGTAATTTATTTGGGACTGATTGATTAGAACAGTTTCAACTTTGAAATATGCCTATTAACACAGTATGTCAAAAAGTCGAAAATTTGACTGACGAAGCAGAAAAGTTGAAAGGTGAACTTAAAAAAAAATTTTCCCAACATTTTCAGTGGAGGACTAGGAAAACGCACAAAAATGTCTGCTAAGTTTGAGTTAAAGCCAGATGTAAACGAAGTTTTTTTAAGAAAAAAACAATGTTTCATTTGCCTCATTAAATCAAATTGACAAGGAGTTGAAATGGAAGTTCTGGCAAAGATTGAATATAGTGAATAGGTGTCTCCGACAGTTTATATTAAAAAACAGAGCAAAGAAATTCATGTATGTGCTGACTTCTCTACGGGGCTGAATAGCACCCTAAAGGATCACCATTATCCCCTTCCAAGTCCAGAGGAGATATTCACTAAGCTCAGTGGAGGAAAATATTTTTCTAAGATTGACTTAAGCAATGCATATCTACAAATACTTGTGGATGAAGAATGCTAGAAGCTCCTTTGTATAAACACCCACAAGGGTTTATACAAATTTTTAAGACTCCCGTTCGGGGTTAAGGTCGCCCCTTCGATTTTTCAACAGGTCATGGACACAATGTTAAATGGTCTGGATTCTGCGGTGGCCTATCTTGATGACGTCCTAATGAAAAGTGAGAGCATTGAGGAACACAAATTGCATTCATGAGAATCCAGGATTACAGATTCAAATTAAAAGACGGGAAGTGTGAGTTTTTCTTAGAGAGGATCAAGTACTTGGGGCAAATAATTGACAAAGACGGAAGACTTCCCGACCCAGATAGGGCAACGGCAATAAAGAATATGCCAGCACCAGAAAATGTGTCAGCTCTTCAAAGTTTTTTAGGTCTTGCCAATTATTACAATGTTTTTGTCCCAAGAATTCACAGTTTAAGAGCTCCACTTAATGAAATATTGAGAAAAAATAAAGAGGGAAAATGGACAACCAAATGCCAGGAAGTATTTGAGAAAATAAAGGAGGTCCTTACATCAGATCTGTTCCTGACTCATTATGATTCAAACCGTTACATCATTGTAGCCAGTGATGCTAGCCCCCACGGAATCGGGGCGTGTATTTTACACAAGTTAAAGGATGGATTGGTAAAGCCAATCGTCCATGCATCTAGGACGCTATTACCAGCTGAAATGGGTTACTCGCAAATAGAAAAGGAAGCCATTAGGAATCATCTTTGCGGTGACTAAATTTCCTAGATTTATTCATGGAAGGTACATTTTGTTGCAGACAGACCATTGTCCACTCCTTACTATCTTTGGATCAAAAAGGGGTCTTCCAAAACATACTGCTAATAGACTGCAAAGATATGGAACCATTCTCCTCAATTATAGCTACAAAATGGAGATTCTCCCACCCACTAAAATCTGTCATGCAGACAGGTTGTCTAGATTGATACCTAACTATGCTGAACCCCTGGAAGATAGTTATTTCTGCCATAAGATCAGAGGTTGAAATAAAAAGTACCTTGTGCAATACTGTCAGAGAGCCTCCTATAACAATTGATGAGATAATACACAAAGTGTCCGATGATGAGTTCATAAAGGAAGTAAAGAACAAACTAAATAGTAAAGACCAGAATATCTCAGAAGTTTACTCACTCTGTAACGACATACTAATGTATGGAGACAGAATAGTAATCCCATTTACACTACAAAAAAGAACATTAAAGGAATTCCATGTTGGCCATCTGGGAACTTCAAGAATGAAGAGTCTGATGAGGAGTTACGTCTACTGGACCAACATGGACAAGGATATTGAAAACACTGTAAGATTGTGCAAAGGATCTGCTTTGGCTGCTAAAGCACCCCCAATAAAATTAAATCCCTGGCCTAAAACCGACCGACTGTGGTCGCGGATACACATTGATTTTGCTGGCCCACTTGATGGTTTTTACTACCTTGTAGTAGTTGACAGTTATTCCAAGTGGTCAGAAATATTGAAATGTAAGAAACCGACTGTGGAGGTGACAGTAAAGTTTTTGCACAAGCTATTTTCCCGTTTCAGAGTTGTTGACTGTATCATAACAGACAATGCCACATAGTTCACATCCTGTGAATTTAAGGATTTTTGTCAGTCATCCCTGATTGAACATATTACCACGGTGCCATATCACTCAACAAGTAATGGACAAGCAGAGTGTTTGGTGGAGACTTTCAAGAGAAGCACTGAGGAAGGTGAGCGGTACTCCCACCGATATGGCTATACACAATTTTTGAAGGTCTATTATGTAACCCCTACTAGCAGTGCTCCATCTGCCAAGATGTGAGTGGAGGTCATGTTTGCTAGGAAAATAAAATCGGCATTTGACAAATTCCTTCCAAGTGAAATGAAAGTGGGAAATAGGAATAAAGTGCTTTCTAAGCATTTTAAGATCATTGAAAAGGTTTTTTTTTCTCGTGTATTTGGGAATAATAAAGCTCACTGGGAGATAGGAACAATAGACAGACAAATTGGTAACATGATTTACATGGTTCAGGGACTGAAGTTTATACACAAACTTCATGTAAACAAAATTAGAAAACAGTATGAAAGCATAGTTGACAGGGATCCCATAGAAGATGACACTATGAACGTCATCTTTGACATGTTTGAGGTTCCAATACCACAATCAGTGCCAGAGCTCAGAAGGCCCAAAAGAAAAAGGAAATTTACATAACCTTTAGAAATTAACCCGAAAAGAAAAAGATATTGAACATCTTTCATTTCATACTATGTCTACAGAAAAAGGAAAAGAATGTGTAAAAAAATCCATCTCCTCACTTATGAACTTTGAATTACCAGAAAAGCACAATACACATTGTATTGGAAATGATTAACATTATAATTTACCATTAAACTTATCCAATTTTTCATTATTAAGAATAATGAATAGAGACTTTAATAAAAAGGGACTGTTGTTAACACGTAAAATGTTTGTTGTAAAACTAAAAAAAAAAAAAATTGTGAACATAATTCCTGTATATAGCTTTTTCAAAGTGGTTGTTTCTGATTTTTTTTGTGAAAAAGGGTTTATATGGTTGAATAAAAAGTATTGTGTGGTAATAAAAAAAAAAAAAAGACCATATGGAGTCAGGCTGAAAAGGGGGGGGGTATTGTGGTGTCCTCCTTCTAAAGAGTCTATGTTGGACTCTTCAGCCTACTATAAGATTAGTAGGAGAGAAGGCCTTGGGGAAACAGTCGTATAGATTGAATGCTGGGTCAACCGATACACACTCACTAGTTGTGTAATACTCTTCTGTTGTACTTACTGTTTAATACATGACATATCTGCAACATCGGTTTTGTTTTTCTTAACCATTTACTTGGTTGCAACAGAAAGAAATGCTAAAACTGCATTATGATTAAACGTTATATAAGAAGGAAATCCTAAAAATGCATTATGATTAAATGTTATATGAGAAGGAAATGCTAAGAATGCATTATGATTAAATGTCATCTGAGAACGAAAACGTAAAAATCCTTAAAATGCATTATGATTAAATGTTATGAGAAAGAAATAAATTTTGGGGATTGAAGTCTATAGGTCTTTAACAACTTATAAACTTTACATTGGCAACACACTTTTTAAAAGTATGTTTTTTTTTGCCACACATTAAGTTCTGTTACTGAGACCAAATAATTCAATGAAAAATTTAATACATAAGTTATTTTCCTTTAAATAATGAATGACTAAATGTTTTGCTTGAAAACTTGAGAAATTCAACACGATAATTTTTAGTGACTTAAAAGAAGAATATTTTGAAGAATTTAAATCACCAAATTTCTTTTGCAAAATCGAACTGTCTTACCAAAAATCTGATCTGAATCAAAAAATAAAAAATGTAATAAAACTAAGACATTATTTAATTAGAGAAGTTTTTAATTTCTTTTATGAATAATATATATTATACTGCCTGAAGAAAAAAATTTTTTTGATGAAAAATTAATTTTTACAAGATTTGTTTTCATATTTTACAATTTTACATTGAATAATTTATAAAGTTTTTAAATTTTTTAAAATTCAGTCTCAATGTGATAATTTTTAGAAAATATTGTTATTAAGTAAAACTATATTTACTAATCATATATTGTAAAGTTTATGATCTGGCGATCCTGAATATTTTTAAAAGAATTTTAATTTGTTTTTCTATGTGTATATATGTGCAGAATTTCTGAATTATGGATGATCAAACCTATAACATTATCATTAAAAGGTCATGTGTTTTAAGGGTTGTTCCACTATGAACACATTCGGTGGTCAAATGGCTGTCAATAAATTGATTAACACACCAGAGAAATCCGTGATTAAGAAATGTCTGTATACAACATTTTATGCTATAATTAATATTGGTTTCAATTCAGATTAATTTATCTTTAAATTTGCTAATTTTCCTCAAATAACATTTCAGAAATATATTTTATTTTTGCAAGATTTTTAAAACGAAGAATTAACGTCCTTCACGCCATCCATCACACCCTCTAAAATAGCCATACATTGACTGATTGAAACCAAATTTTGAGGATAAGTGCAAGCTGGTAAGGGGGTTACAACATACAGTATTAAATATTTTTAATATAACTTTAAGTAAGCTGTCTAAACTAGCTGAATCAGTTGTTTTTTAATGAAAGCAACTCAATTTTGACTACTTTTAATGTTTTCATTACCTTGCAAACACCAATATTTTTTTAAACAAGAATCCAGTTTCCAGTTTGCCCTGTATGTGCAAGAACTATAAACAAATCACAAGGCCAAATGTTCCAAAAAGTTGGAATTTGACTCCAGAAAGAAATATTTACACATGGCCAGCTGTATGCTGCATGCTCAAGAGTAAGAAATTATAAGAAATTATTTTTTGCTGTTAAAAAGGAAAAAAGTAAATTCTTAAAAAGTATTGTTTATCATGAAGTCCTATAAGATTAAAGAAATTATTAAACTGTGAAATTGGGATTTTGCTAAAGTATTTTTCCAAACAAATTCGCTTATTCAAATTTCATTGATTGCTTTGTGAAATTGAATGAAACTTAAAGTTTGTAAATCTTGACAAAAAATGTTAGTGATAACTTTAACAATACTAAATAGTGAGGATTTCAACATGCATCAGTGTGTTGCAAAAAAATTCTAGTGACCAAAAAAAATGAAGATGGTCACTTTATGCTAAATACTTAGGATAAATGATAATAAGTCTATACTTACCGAGATGATAAGGCTTCTTTTAAATCTTGATTTTCTTTCTTCAAAGCATTGCATTCTCTTTGAATCTCTTTCCCCCTCTCAAACATTCTGTACAAGATGAATTTGGAACAAATCAAAATTTATTTAGTTCACAAATTTTATTTATTTTCTCATTATTATTTCAACTGATAGCAGAATCGATAAAACAAAGAATGAAAAGAAAAACTGAAATATTATGTCTTTCTAAAATGTATTTCTTTTTAATGTTGCTGAAAATATGACTACAGAGCATTGTTTAATGAGAAGTCTCCAGCATGAAACTTTACAATCCCCTTTTGACTAGGTCAATAATTCACTTTAACAGCATAAATCTCTTTTGCATTTAAGGTGCATATTTTTACTTTTCTTAAAATACAAACAAGCATAACAGTTACAGATGTTGTTTATTTTCTTCCCTCCTCAATGTTAGAATCAGCTTAAAGCCATCATCACATTGAAACACTGGTTCTCATAACATCATCAAAGTTAAGCAACACTGAGCCTGGTCAGTACCTAAATGAGTGACCACTTGAGAATACCAGGAGTTGTAAGCATGGTTTGTGGGTGGTATAATGGATAACAGCTCAAAATTGGAAATCTTAGACAAAAGTTCCAATTCTAGTCAGGTTTGTTAAATTCACTAATGCACAAATAGTTTTGGAAAAGGTATGAATCTAACTCTTCTCCTCCTATGGGTTAAGTAGTAAGATTTGTATCAGTAAATCATTATTATCTCCCAAAAATTATAACAATCTAAAAATATTTTCTGGATTAAATAACTGTAAAAATCAAATAAATCAATGTTAGAATGAAACAAATTTTTATAAAATGCAAGCTGTCACAATAGAACAAAAACAATATTTTTCAATGACGTTAAAGCTTAATGCTTCTCATTCAACAAAAACAGAACAAACATTTTGGCCAACTCAATATAAAGAAAATAAAATATAATAAAATAGCTGGATGGGGACCCATTTAACCTGACAATTGTTGCATGAATATCCCTTTTCTGTCCTGATCTGTGTCAAGATACATTGAATAAAGATGAATCAACAGAGCAAGCAGATTAATATTGATTGTTTTTATTCTTAAAGCATTTGGGCTGCAGAGGAAAGTTCTCTGAATAGATTAGACACAATATTTATTTAGAAATTTAAGTAAACATCTGGTGCCCATCTTTTACTATTTAGATAACTTACATGAATTCTATTGATGAAACTCTGTAAAGGATGATGTTTCTCAATTCCTTGAGGATGGTGGTTCCAAGACTGTTTACTTTCCAAAATACTATTAAGTTGGTGCAAAAATAATGACGTAATAATGTCGATTTTTGACGTATTTTTTAAGGTCAAAAAACGACATTATTACGTCATTGTTTTTGCACCAACCTAATACTTACTAGCTGAGCTTTAGCTGGGGAAAAGAATCACTTCAAACATGCCATGTATCTTGAGATGATTATAAGGTTATACTAAAGAAGGGTGCTACTAGAAAAGGTGAGGATTTTTTGCCATATTTGAGAAAATTATTTACAAAGGATTTATTTAATTGTTAACACTTACAAGTTGATATTAGATTTTTGTAACAAAAAAGAACTTAAATTTGAAACAGAAGAGTCAAATTTTTGCTATTACCTGATTTCATAGTGATTGCATGAAAAATGCTCTTGATCAGATAGGAACTATATATATATATATATATATTAATGCATGTTTCATTAAATAATATAGACAAGTTTTGTCTATTTATTTTAAGAAAGTTCCTTTCATATTGTCTGATAAGCTTAATAACATTATCATTGAAAGACAAAAGGAAATCACCATACTAATACATGTTTAAATCCAATCTAAGCTTTTGGCTTACATAAGCCATTATCAAAGATGACAATTACTTTTCAATATATCAAACATGTCAAACCTCAAAAATAAGATATTTACAGATGTTAAAAAACCTTCCATCTAAGATTTGTTGATGATATCCTTATGTTAGTTAAAAATACAGATGAAATACTTCAACTTCAAAAACGTTTCCAAAATAATTATGTCCTTAAATTCATGTACAAACTCAATACTAATAATATCGGAGTCATTGTGGTGATGATTTTTGATTATGTAATCCGTGATATCATATTTCGGTAATCCAGTGGCAAATTTCTGACCAAAGCTGAGTGCTTCTAGCTGTGTATCCGATAGTTGGAATTTGGATAAATTTGTTATTAGGTCTTTTCTGCCGATGTTGGACCATTTGCTATTATAAATGAGTTTGCTGAGTTTGTTCTGTAAAACACGGACTTTCTTCTTATTATTATATCTGACTGATCTTTTTATTTCATTCCGTTCGTGTTTTTGTAAGTGACATACAAAATATACAAACGAAACAAAACTAATAACACAATCCGCAATAGTAAATCACATGAAAACAGATACATAATACTACCGACCAATTCTGCCACGTCCACGATCCAGAATAACCTATCCCATCTAAATAATCTTGAAATAGTCACAAACACTTCCAAAACCATTATAGATATACTAAGATCTTCAAACAATAATAGAACTAATATTTCTGAAGCAGGCATTTATAAAATAAATTGCCAAAACTGCTCCTCCCAATATATTGGAGAAACAAGTAGAAGTTTGAAAAAAATATTTATGAGCACAAAAAAGAGCCCTCACAAAAAACAACTTAGCTAATGCAATAGTCATACATAGAAATAAACACAACCATAATTTTGATTTTAAAAATGCTACACTCATAAAAGAAAAAAATAACTAACTCAGAAGGAAAATTCTGGAGAGTGCCGCCATAGAAAATTATCCAAATATTAATTTATGCCCAGGCTTTTTCCCCATTTCACCTTTCTTAACAAAATTAATGCTCTTACAAACAAATATGCACAACAGATTCATAAAATCGAAAGAAAATGGTTGAATACATCAACACAGATATAATGACAATATTCTCCACACGTGACAATCTCTGACGTTATTTTTCAGTTAAAAAATATGAAAATAGCGTTTCTCTACATTCCAGTTGCTAGGTACATTCTGTTTTTGTTTTTATTAGTTACTTTGTTCATTTAATTTCATTTTCATATTTTGCTTTGATAAAGTCCACATTGGACGAAACGCGTCAGCAATTACCAGTTTTCCTATTGTCATTTTTATTCATAAATATATATATATATATATATATATATAGTTAAATATATAGTTAAATATGACAGACAATGAATGTGTATTATGTTTGATCATGAGCTGTTCTAAACTTGCTTTAATTACAGGAGAAAATAAAGATAAAAATTGTCCAACATTTGGTTATTTTTTATTATTCTGTTCCTTGATCTAAGCTTTTGGCTCACTTGAACCATCTTCAGAGTGGTTATAGGCACATTTAAACAAAGATATTCACCATCAAAGATGATATTCTGTTATGTTGACTTAGAATATTGCTATGTGACGATAACGGTCATGGAATAGCAGACGCAGGTTGTAAATTCATGATGCTGTTCTATGACGTCGTAACACATGACAGACCAGAATATTAACAACAGAACTAGTCACAGCACATTACATTGCATCTAGACATATGCTTCTGTTGTTAATATTTTGGCTCCATATGCAAACTAAAAGCATTCTGGGAAGGTAATGATAGCTATTTTTTCCTCCAAGCAAAGTTTGCAAGTTTTTGATTGGTTGTTGTACGCTGAGGATCTTTTCCTTATTTTCCAAGATATTTTTGGTGTGACGTGCATTTTGTTTTTAATTTCCCAGATATACTTAGAAAGCATTGTGCTGCTTGCATATTTACTATTTGTGAAAGAGGTTTTGTGTGCATAATTTCAGTTTTCCTATTGTCATTTTTATTCATAAATATTGTCTTCTCTACCAATTAAATTGGAGAAATTTTCATATATATATATATATATATATATATATATATATATACAGTTCAAAAGTTTGAGGTGACCCCTAGTAATTTTTTAAATTAGATCTAAAAGTAGTTGTTTTTTTTACTTTAAATAAGAGAAAATTATTATACATGGTTAAAAAAAACAAAAAACGTGAAACATGATTTTTTATTATAAATTTTATTAGGACAAAAAGACAAAAAAGCATTTTATGATTAAATTTTGCTCTCATCAAAATACCCTCCTTTAGCCTTGATTACTGCAGCACAAATTTTTGGCCTCCATTGCAAAAGTTTCTCAAAGTATAAGTTTAATAATTTATTCCATTTTTTTTTTTCAATGACTATGACCCCATTTTCATTTTTTCACTCTTCTGTCAAGTTCATTTCATGCTAATTTTGGGGGTGGCTTCAAACTTTTGAACTTATATATGTCTCTACCCGTAATGAGTGCAATTGTGTCCTCAATGAAGCAAAGTTACTATTTGCTAAAACAATGTATTGCATCTAACAAGTTTGGTTCTAAAGATTACTAGCAACTCTGTAAGAGTGTGCCAAACAACAGCAAATCCACAATACCCCCTCTATTCAATCAATTTGAGGTCCTGACTTCCTCAGCTGATAAGGCAGAATGTTTTGCTTGGAAAATCTCATCCAATTTGACACTCGACTCATCTGGGGTACTCACATCAGATTTTCACCCTAGAACCGAGGCTCTATTGAGTGAGATGAGCATAACCCCATCACAATGATAAAGGACATTGTCTCTAAATTAGACTCCCATAAGGCAAGTGGTGGGGACGTGATACCAGCCGTAGTCCTAAAGAAATCTGTTTCTGTACTATATAACTATTGCCTCACCAACTCTTGCTTTTCAGCCTGTTGGAAGTCCTCATTTGTTGTCTCTGTTTTTAAGAACTTTGGAAACCTTTCTGACTCATCTAACTACCATCCTATCAATCTCCTACCACACTTTGGCAAAGTCTTCAAGGCATCAATCAACGCTGATGAAGTTAAGCACCTCATGATCTATTCTCTGACAAACAATATGATTTCCACTGACATGCTCACAGTCATAACTGAATTTGTATACCAAGCACTTGACAATAACAGAGAAGTATCTTTAGATATCTCTAAGGTGTTTGATTGGGTTTGGCATGCCAGCCTTCTTTGTAAGTTTCAGGAACATGGTATTACAGGATGATTATTTGACTTAATACAATCATTCCTGTCAAACCGTGAAATGAAGGTCATCCTAAATGGCTTCTCCTCCAGTTCCTTTCATATGAACGCTGGTGTTCCCCAAGGCTCTATCCTGCGTCCTACACTGTTTCTGATCTTCATCAACGATCTTCCTGATTTCATCAGTTCCTAAGTAGGCATCTATGCAGACGACACTACTATTTACAATAGTAAATCCGTCACTGTTGACAAAACTAACCTGGTCATTGGTCTCAAAAAGGACCTCCAATCTGTGGTTGACTGGTGCTGGTAATGGCGTGTAAATTTTAATGTCTCCAAAACAAAACTGCTCTCATTTACCCATCATAGAGAACACTCCCTACCTCCTATCAGAATGGCTGATGCCCAACTCCACAAGAGCGTCTGCCTGTGCCTGCTTGGTCTTATGTTTTCCACTGACTCTAGGTGGAACAACTACATTGAATCAATAGCTTCATCTACTGCAAGGAAAATGGGTTCTCTGTGTTGTGCCAGATGGTTTTTCTTGCCTGAATCCATCCTTCAAATCTACAAAACAATCATTCGTCTTTGCATTGAATACTGCTGCCATATATGCCTGCGCTGTTCGTCTCAAGGCCCTTGACAATATCCAGAGATGGATATGCAATATGATAGGTCCTGATCGGGCATCTCATCTACAATAAGTTTCTCACAGACGTGCAGAGGCTTCCCTCGGTATTTTTTACAAATATTTTCATGGCAACTGCTCTGACAAGCTACTTTTACTGGGCCCTAAACTGCATGAATTTAAGCGTGCTACTAGGTTGGCATTTCGTCCCCACCCTTTCAATGTCAAAACAATTAAATGTAGCCGTCTCTTGTACTCCAACAGCTTCTTATCTCACACTTCCCAACAGTGGAACTCCCTTCCTCTTACTTGCTTCCCCGATAGCTATAATCTTCAAATATTCAAATGTAATGTTAATTGACATCTTCTGATGCCTTGATTTTGATCCCTGTCCTTCTCTTTATCCTTTCCTCAAACATCCCCTTTTACTCTTGCTCTCACTCTCTTTAACCCCTTGTGTACTAGTGGCATTCCTGCCTTGCTTGGGGTGACATGCTTAAAAAATCCAAAAAAATCATATATATATATATATATATATATATATATATATATATATATATATATATATATTTCATTTTTTAAAAACAAAATGACAATTTATAATTCAAATTTACTTACTTGTTTTTCAGTGTCACAATTTTGGTAAATTTTTCCTTCTGTTCTTCACGACATACTGAAAGCAAAATATGAAAACAAAAACAATCAGCTTCACTGCTGAATATTTTTATCATCTTAGAAGTTTTTTTTTTTCAAAATCTACAGACAGAAAATTTCACACTTATTAACTTGTTGCAATTAGTGGAGATCTCTATATTAAAGGTCATTAACATTTACAGATAAAGTCTCAGTAGATCAACATTAGATGTCACCACACTGTCAAACATGTCAACACAGCTACAGCTACTGTTGGATTAAAAAATGCATTTCTGCAATATTTTAAAGTAAATAATATTTGTTTCAAATCAGATTAATTATACTTTAATTAACTCAGCTAATATTCATCAAATAAAGTTTCAGAAAAGTATATTTTATTTTTGGAAGATTTTTTAATAAAGAAAATTACATTGTGATGAAAGATGACTAAAAAAGGGTGCTAATCAGCTATTTTAGTAAAAAAAAAAAACTCCTTCGAGTCAATGTAAATTAGTTTTGAAACACAGCAAAGTATTTTGATTATTGGAAATATTAAATTTAATTTATTAGCTTGAAATTAAAACTAAAATAAAAGCTTCAGGAAAGATTTTTCATTTTAAAAAATTAATTTTAAACCTTAAGTATCAAGTTTTTTGTGGAGATCTCTATATTAAAGGTCATTAATTGTTAGAGTATCTATTACAGATCTCTTACACTGAATTCATTTCCTTCATAACATTATGTGTATGTATAAACATTAAATAAAATAGATCTGTTTTATGAGTAAAGCTGGCCTTAATTCCTGATCACCAACAATCCCATTCTCCGGTTTTCAATGCACAACATACAGTTTAAATGATGAAACTTACTAAGATAAATTTTTGTGAAGAAGTTACAAAATTTGGTTTATAATCATGAATTTTCTCTACCACCAGAAATAGTTAATTTATTAATAGAGAAAATGATTAAAGATGGTAAATTGTGGAGTAGCAGTAAAATAAGTGGGTAGTGAGAAACAAAACCTTGTCTACATATAACAAACTGTTACAAAAATTCAGCCTGTGTACAAATATGATTATTATTTTATTTTTTTCCTATTGCTAGAACTTATATTGTCAATAAATGTTAGAGGTGAATGAAACATGTTATATTTGTTTCATGAATTCTATCCATGCTATGAACTATACAAACAATTTTTTTTGTGTGTGTGTGTGTGTGTGTGTATGTAAAGTAGGCAGCAAGACTTCATTTTAAAAAGTTTACAGAAAATGTATGTCTGTTTAATTTTTAATTGTATATTTCTAACTTTCAAATAAGATGATGTACATTAGGATCAAAATCATACATAAATTGTCCAAAGTTTATGTTTGTTTTGGTATTTTTGTTCAAGTACTTTTGACTTTCTCAGTCATTACCAAGAACTGAATGTTGTCAGAATGGTAGACAAGATTTTGTTGACTACATCCTGGGACTTATTTTGAATGCTACAATCCCAATATATGTTTATTGTATAAGTGATATTATGCGAAAAACAATTTCAAGGAACTTGACTTCACTGTAAAAGAATATATATATATATATATATATATATATATATATATACACACACTAATAAATAACACAACAGTGTTATTAATGACGATAACAAGCATTGCTTTATGTTATAAAAATCCAACCAGGGAGTCTACTGCATGCCTGAAGATCACCAAAGTGTGAAACTGATTGTTGCAATTAATTTTCTTAATGTGTTTATATATATATATATATATATATATATATATATATATATATATATAGAGAGAGAGAGAGAGATAGATAGATAGATAAAGTATGTATGTATATAAAGCTTGTGTCTGATGTTTTGTAATGCCTAAAATAGGTCATGCTATGGTGTTGTTTAAATCTGAGCGTAGACCAGCTACACCTTCCATATTTTGAAAACTCAATCCCCAAATACCTGAATAACATATATTGCTCATTACAAGGTAGGTATAAAAAACAAACAACTGTAGAAATGATCATATATTTATAAAATTTAAAAAAAAAATGAATTAAAATATTTTAATCTCCTTTGAATATTTAATTTTGGTTTTCAGTGTAAAAAAAAAAAAAAAAATCTTTTGTCTACTTAAAACAGGTTTTGGACTAATTTTAATGTTGGTTTTTTTCATCCAAAATTAATTTCAGTTATGCCATGATTGATGTCTGCCAACAGAAAAAAAAATTAAATGCTATAATTAAAAATCTTTCAAAAATAACGTAGTTATTATTGGAATTGATGAAAGTTAATTGAATTATTCTTTAACTGAATAATGAACCAAAAAATTACTTTTTAATTAAATTATAATGAAAAATAACTTTGTTTAAACAGAGGATCTCTTACTTCAAATATCAAATGAATAAGGAGTCAGTTTTCCTTACCTATATATTTTAAAGGCCTGCTTAAATTTACAAGTGTCTCATGGGACATGTGGTGAAACATGTTCAAACAAAACCAAAAAAAATTTCATATGATTCACAATGGCAAAAGTATATTCCCCAAATTAAAACATGATAAGCAACACTGTAGTGTGTGCGAATATAAATGACAAACTTACATCTAATGGTCTCCTTGTGATTGTTGTAAATATCTTTTAAGAGAGCTTCCAAGGTCAGTGTATGATTACGAATCGCATCGGTGGGTTTGTTATCACAGGGTTGGGCAGAATGGAAAGACTCGGATTTTGTTTCATTCATTTTTGTGGATTCCTTCCTGTGGTCAGAAAAAAGATAATCGTTGACACAAAAAATAACATGTAATTAAGACAGACATTCTCATGAAGCCAAATCCAGAAACATTTCTGGGAATGCAAGCAAAACTGATATATTTAATCTTGAGATTTTAAGAATTCAAATCATAATCTTAGATTGAACCATTCTGTTTTAATGAGCTTGACCTGTTTAGCACATTAAATTTATTTTTCAAGTTAAGCAATATTCTGCTAGATCAGTAATGAGTAATCACTTAAGAATTTGGACATTAAGTAAAAAAAATAAATAAAAAAATTCAAGTTTAAATGAAATGCTTTTTTACAACCAGTCAAATGAACAGCTGAAATTTTATTAATTTGTATTTAACAAAAACAAATTTGTACCATTGTGGAAAATGCTGGTTCACAAGAAACTCACAATCATTACTGTGTACTGAGTTAGGATATACTTATCCTAACCTTTAACCTTAACAAAAGACCAGGTCTTCTCATTATCTAATACAGGGTGTGATGGATAAATTTTTGTCTAAATTATGCAAGAATGAAAATAATGCTTACATCTCATTTTAACAGATATATTTACCAAAATTACACAAAAATATTTGTAAATTTATTCAGTAAAATTGCCATTGGCTTCAACCACTACCTCTGGACTTTGGAATTTCCAGCAACTCTTCTGGACGTTCTCCTTGTTTAAGTTGATAAATGCTGCCATAATCCTTGCCTTCAGTTCATTTTTGGTGTTACAAGGTATTTTGTTGGTTTCTTAGTCAACTGCACCCCACACATAATAATCAAGGAGTTGCAGTCCGGGGAGTTAGGTGGCCAGATCTAAGGAGTGATGTGAGCACAGATATTGTCTGACAATCATGACTGGGTTCTCTTGCTTGCGTGGCATGGTGGAGAGTGCTGTTGTCAGGTATAGGGTCTTCCAGCAACCATCTTCAATACATTTGATGTAGGCCTCCGTGTTGAGTCTGAAGCTGTGTGGGAAGATGAATGGAGGCATAACATTTGCCATCACTAGTGATCATCCCAAACACCTTCATAATCAGCATTAGACTCCTTCAACTCTTTCTGGACCCTTTGCACTGTCCTCAGATTGACACCCAAATACTTTCTAACGTTCATATTGAAGCTTCTGGCATGAATGCCAAGCAGTACAGCATGCTATTTCCAAATTTCTGGTGGAGTGAATTGTCATGGTGTTCTTTTTCTCATAGACGGTTCCCAACTGACCTTACTATACTGTGCAGTTAACAAAATCAGGAGCAAACAATGCACATGAACAAAATTAAAAATATAAAATGGCGACATTTCATCCATCGCACCCTGTATATGCATACACACAATATCTTTGTCTTTTAATCTTGTTTGCTAATGACAAAAAAAAAACAAAAAAACAAAAAAAAAACACACACAAAAACAAGATTAGGAATTGAACTAAAATTTTAATTATTGTTAAAAATAAATAAATAACCTGAGATAAATGCATTAGTGTAAATGTTCTCTAGGAAATCCTAGAGTATTATATTGGCCATGTTGATGATGTGTAAGTATTGCATTTAGTTGTTAAGAAATAAATGTTTTATAGACATAACAATATTCAGAATCAGGAAAATGGCATTTTTTGCCTTCGTACTTAGATTTTCATTTTAATCATCACTTTTATGATCATAACAAAAGGGGCTTCAAAGAATTCATTAGAACTTTTTTTATTTATTTTTAAACATTTAATATGAAAGTACATCAAAGTCAATGGTGCACATATTTGATTAATAGTTTATGAAACTGGATTTTAATCTTCCATGTTTAGCAGTAACAAAATAACATTGTGTGATCCATTTACCTTTGTTGCATTATTATTACTTACAATAATTTGAGAATGAGTTAACAGGGATTTTTTTTTATTGTGTGCATTAATAAATACAGTGTATAGGTTGTAACATAAATTATCAATTAAATTGCACAAAAATAAAAATAACACTGACATCTCATTTTAACATATATTTACCAAAATTACACAAAAATATCTTGAAATACTAAACAGTAAATTTATTCAATAAAATTGCCATTGGCTTCAATTAACTAATTAGTAATTTAATGATATTAGTACCTCCAGTGTGTAATTAGAACTAACTAATGTGTCTAGCCTTCAGTCGACTTTGGAATCTCCTGAAACTCTTCTGGATAGTCTCCTTAAGTTAGTATAATCCTTGCCTTCAGTTCATTTTTGGTGTTACAAGGTATTTTGTTGGTTTCTCAGCCAACTGCACCCCACACGTAATAATCAAAGTAGTTGCAGTCTGGGGAGTTAGGTGACCAGATGTAAGGGGTGATGTGGGCGCAAATATTGTCTAACAATCATGTCTGGGTTCTCCTGCTTGTGTGGCATGGTGCAGAGTCCTGTTGCCAGACAGGGTCTTCAAGCATTCACCCTCTTGACCCATTGGAGTTTCTGGCATGAATGTCAAACAGTACAGCATGCCGTTTCCAAATATTTGGTGGACTGGATGGCGTCATGGTGCTTTTTCTCACAGATGGTGCCTAACTGATCCTACTATACTGTGCCGTCAACAAAATCAAAACAAACAACATGCATGTACAAAATTAAAAAATATAAAATGGCCACAATTTACCCATCGCACTCTGTAATACCCAAAGTTTGTGCATGTCTACTTGACATCCTGAAAATTAAATATATATGTAAAGTTGCTTGCAAATATGCATTTGGGCATGTAAATGCAATATAAAACTGTGATATCAAATACATGTTTTATTATTTATATCCCCCACCATATATCTTATACCTTGCTCAACTGGCTTAATAATGATAACTAATATATTTATTTATTATATTCTTGTCATTGTGCAATGCATATGAAACTACAGAGCAGACACCAGGTGAACCAAACACACACCACAAACTCATGGACAGCATTGAATGAAGAAAACAATAATATTTAAAATATGCTGAAAATTGTCAGTGTGTGGTAACATTCATTTTATGCAGGGCCCAAGGATAAAAGCTGTCCTACCAGTGCTTTGTTCTAGAACTAAAAGAACTAAAATGTTGCCCTGAGACTAACAGCTTACAGATAGATCATGCTGAAACTGGTTCTCATACAATCACTGAAGTTAAGCAATATCAAGCCTGGCCAGTACTTAAACAGGTAACTGCTTCGGATTATCAAGTGTTATAAGCTTTGTTCTAATAGAAAATGGCTTGAAATTGGAGAGACAAGTTCCAATTTCTGTTGGATTCATCATATTGACTTATGCGCAAATATCCTTGGGAAAGTTATGGATCCATTCCATCTCCTCCCCTGCTATGGATTAATTAGTAGGACTTGTATCAATAAAACATTATAATCTCCAAAAAAATTTTACAATCTAAAAGTATTTTCCAATTTTAAATGACCTGCAAAAGTTTGATAAGTCATAAAACCAATTGTTTAAACAAGTGGTACCCAGGATGCATGCAGTCTTTCATTTTCTGTTCTGCTATGAATTAGAAATATCCTCCAAGGAAAGTAGCAAGCAGCTGATTATTTTCTGGGCAACATCCATAACCATTTGGTGGGCTCTCTTGTCCATTGCTGAGCAGCTGACATACCAAATAGTGATGCAGTATGCCAGTAAGCTTCAATTTTGAAAATCAAATTTTAAAACCACTGTGTTTGATGTTGGAATTTTTTACATGAGCAATTATCGTTATGTTTTTTTCATTAAGATTATTATGCTGCTCTTGCTTGTTATACTTGTGTTATGGTCATATATTAACAGGAGATCAGGAAGGATATCTGCTGAAATGTGGGCATAACAACCAATCTGAATGGAAATGCATATAAAAATAGTGGTTTTTGTTTTTTCTATGTATTTATTTCTAATCTTCTCTTTTAACATTTTTATAAATAAGCAATTGTTTTGTCAGTAGCTTTTATAATTGCATAGTTATTCAAATAAATCCACTTTCTACATTGAAAGTGGTAACCACATTAGCATTTAGATCACAGCTTGGATGTAAAGGGAATTAAGCAATGTTGACATTTTAAATAGTATTTTGAAAATGTAAGAAATATTATGAATTATAATATAATGTCCCATGTATAAAATAAATGACTACCTAAACGCTTAAATCTCTTGAATATATCTTTAAAACAATTTCATTAATAACGTTTGCTGGCATACAGAAATTTCTCAAAGCAACAATTGTGTATTGCATTGAAGTGACAGAAAAGAACATACTCCAATGCCAGGTATTACTGCTAGTTTACTTATATTTTTTATCAATAAATGTCAAATATTTTTTGTCCTTTTCATCTTAATTGGTTTAATTAGTAAGAATGGGAAATAATAATTCTTTTATAAATAATACTACCAGAAAAATGTTACCGGTTTGATTTTTATAGCCTTTTAATCTATTTTAGTTATTATTTTTACAGAAGGATTGTTCTTGTGAAGAAATTGGCATTATAAATTGTTTAATAAGTGGAATTTGGACAGGAAATGCACAGAAGTGGTTCTATTTGTGCTATTTTCTTTAATCAGGCTGAAAAAGTATACTTTTTTGTTAAAACTGATTACTGCAACAATGCACAATATATTGGAAAGTAGCAGATTTGAGAAACTCTAAGAAAAGACAAGATAAAATAACCAAGAAGTGATCCCATTAGTAATCGGAATTTTTGTTTATAAAAAAAGAAGGGAGAAGTTTATTTTTTTGTAATAGATGTGTTTTTAAAAAAAATTTAAGCATATCTATGCATACGTGTGTGTGCCTGTATATATATATATATGCAACAAATTACACAGCACTTATTTCGATCAACCATGTGACTTAGGATGATTACTTCGCTACTTATGTAAAAACAGTCTTAGTTGGCAATAACATATGTGTCAGATGACTTTAAAAAGGTACTGATTATTTACAGCTAATTTGTTTAAATGATGCACTATTGTTTGTGTCATGTGATAATAATTGTAAATAAAATGATACACT